TAACGCGTTCCTGATTTTGGCATAATAACTAGTTACCGTGCTCGTTACCACAATAATAACGTAGTTACTGTAACGCGTTACTTAATAACGCGTTAGTCCCAACACTGGTATTTATACACAAGAACTCATATATATGCAAATAATTTTAAAAAAAAGTGTGAGAGAGAGGGTGAGAGAAAGAAAAAAAACAACCCACGGCTCGCGATAAGGAGCCGGCTCGCGTCGTTCACGTCAACGATCCGGCTCTAAGAGCCATTTCATTCGCGACCTACACATCACTAAAAGACAGTGATGGAAGCCGTGACTGGAGCTGCGATGTAGCCTATATAATATTTATATTGTACGAACGTGATAATTATGTATATTGTAATAACGTGATATTATATTGTTCAAACATGAAAGGTATATTGTACTAACATAATAGTATATTGTACAAACATGAAAGGTATATTGTTAGAACAATATACTTTTCTATTTTTCTTTTGCCTGGGTGGCATTATTTTTAAAAAAGTAACAAGTCGAATTTTGCAAATGTAGCGGAGTAAAAGTACAGTTTCTTCTTCACAAATGTACTCAAGTAAAAGTAAAAAGTATTGTGCAAAAAAGGTACTTTAAAAGTACATTTTTCTCAAAAACTTACTCAGGTAAATGTAACGGAGTAAATGTAACTCATTACTACCCACCTCTGCTGAAGACCACAGAGCCAGTTCACATCATTGCTTTATAGTTTGTTTTTATTAGTTGATGTAGCTGCAGTTCCTCTACCGTCCGGCAGAGGTCAGCCAGGAGACTCTCGGGTCAAAATAGCAGATAAATATGTTTACATTTCTGTGGATAATTTCCCTTTGGGTGGGTGTGGGGGTCCCGTTGGAATAGGAACGTTTAGCCAGCTGTAGTTCTGGGCCAGCCAGTCTTCCAGATTTTAGAGTAGAAAGATGCAGTTTGAAAGTTGTTGGTCAGCAGAAACAGTGAGAGCTTTTTAACTCACATAGTCGCTATATATATATATATA